TTCCTTTTTTTTTGGTTGAAACTTGAAGAAAGTTGATGTTCCACCATAAAATCAATTGGCAATATGAGAGTAGCCTAACCTCTTATAAGTTCTTGCAAGGTTTATCCTTTCACCAATATGAGACTCTTTTACATTCATATTCTCACACGCTCTCTCACATATGACAAATTTTCAAGTGAAACAGATGGACAACACGAATTAGGTGACGTGGGGTTTCTCCTCTCACCAATGTGAGACTCTTTTACCTTCATATCCTCACATGCCTCCTCATGTGTGGTGAATTTTCAAGCCAAACACATAGACAACACGAATTGGGTGACGTAGAGCACGTGTAGCCATTGAGCATCACACGTGGGCGAACCTGCTCTGATATCAAGAAGAAAGTTGAGATTCCACCATAAAACCAATTGGCAATATGAGGAGTAACTCAACCTCTTATAAGCCCTTGCAAGATTTCTCCTTTCACTAATATAAAACTCTTTTATCTTCACATCTTCACAAAACCAAACCATGTGACGACTTGATCTTGTCATATGATTTTTCCCCAGGATCATTGATATTAATTAACGGAACCGGATCCCCTCCTGAGCTTAGGAGGCTGAGCTTCCTAAGTAAAGGATTCGGGCGTTGAAATTTGATTTAATGGTTACAAACATGGAGCCCCTCTAAAAGTTATAATAATTGCAGCCGTTGGATCAAATTTCAACGATCCGTGTGATTTTCTTAGGATGCTGAGCCTCCTAAGCTCAGGAGGAAATCCGGTTCCTTAATTAACATTGTAATTCAGTATGTCTAACATATGTTAATTAATTATTATTCGCCCATAAACCTAGCAAAAAAAGCTGAGCCTAAGATCATGGAAGTTCTGAGGCATTTGCTAGATCTTGATCATAATTACGGTCAGCTGTTCATATTATATGCATGTTGTGTATGAATTTGAAACCAAATCAAGATGCTGCAACTTACTTCCGATATTACATCAATTGAAAAAATGTTGAGGTTTTATTATACAATGAATTAGCAATACGAAGAGTAAGCACATGTAAGATCTCTTCTTTTTTTGATGTGAGATTGATACTTTCAACACGTCCCCTTATGTGTGGAGCACGTGTGGTCATTAGGCTTCACATGCGGGACAACTTGCTCTTATGCCATGAAGTATGTTAAGGTTCTACCATAGAACCAATTGACATTATGGGAATAACCCAATCACTTAGAAGGACATGCAAAGTTCCTTATTTCTTCAATGTTGGGTTAATATTCCCAACAACAATTGCACATTAATCATCAAGTTGCTTTACTGCATTTTGCTACATGATCTGAAGAAAACAAAGAAGGCAACATTTTATTTACTTTCTATAAGCAAATAGTTGTATGATCTAGGTCGAGTATACAACAAGATTTTTTGCTCATATTTTCTGTAATGACGTTATGCTCATTTTTTCTCCTATTCTCATGGCCATTGAGATCAATGGACATGAACAAGCCTAATATATATGTGGAAGAAAATAAGAGTGTTTGAAAATGATTTTCTTAAACAAATGATTCCATTCGGATATCAATTAAATTAATCATTGGATCTCACTTTTACTTAACAGATTTAATATCCACTTGACTCAATAGCAGTTAATCAGTTTCCTTAGAATGTTTTCTTTCTTAATTGATTCCCTTTTTATCTTTGGTACAAAATCTTACTAGTTACTATTGTTCAATAGGACTTAGAGATTGTTGACAGAGTTATGTACACATCAGCAAGATGAGGTTTTGACAGATGGCGTACACGTCAGCCAAGGATTGTTAGGATTGTGGTTAGACAGTTAAAAGGATAAGATAAGTTAGTTAGCTTTCGGTTACTTAGTGATGAAGTGAAGGTTGTAGTATATATATTGCAATCTCTCTGTAATTCTCAATCGATCAATACATTCATAACAGTTCATTCTTTTCTCTCTCTTCTCTAGTCTCTCTCTCATTCTACCTTCTTCTGTGAGTTTTCTTTGCTTTTGCTTTCTTTTGAGATACTGAGCTTAGTGTTAATATGGTATCAGAACCAGGTTTCATAAACTCCCCAACATAATGGTACGTCTGAGAGGAAACATAGACACCTAGTGGAGACATCATTGACTTTAATGGCTGAGGCAAATTTACCTCCAACATTATGGTTTCATGCATGTGCTTATGCAACATTTCTTATAAATCGAATGCCTTGTAGGGTGTTAGAGATGAAATCCCATATCAAGTCCTATTTGGTAAAGTACCAGAAATACAACATTTGAAAGTATTTGGCACAATTGTTTATCCTTTCCTTAGCCATACAATTCAAATAAACTGGAAGCAAGGTCAATGCAATGTCTCTTCTTGTGTTATGCTATGGGATGTAAAGGAGTAATCTGCTACAACATGACAACTAAGAAACTGTTAGTGTCTAGACATGTACTACATGATGAATTGATGTTCCCCTATAAGGTATATTCAACTGCAAGTGCAGATCGATCACTTCAAGCTCAATCTATGGGGCCAAGACCTATGGTGGTTCAAATGCCTATACCTAGTGTTTCTAGTCTGCCTCATAGCAATCAAAGGGAAGATAATAGTAGACATCAAGATAATATGTCTGGTTCAATATCTGGAAGTAGTGATACTACTAATTTACCTATACGGGATACTTCATTACAACAGGTACCGGTATCACATGGCTCATACTCACAGATATCAAGTTCCTCTCTAGAGATAAGTTTCAGGTCTAATTCACTGTCACATGGTGCTCCTTCACAACTGGAGCTTTCTCCCCTCACTTCCACTCCTTCTGGTATGTCACAAATGTTGCTTGTCCATCATGACACACAACTTAAGGTAATACTTCTTATTTCAACTCCCATTTTATCTGATGTTGGTAACTCCAAAGCTACTTCAGTGCATCCAATGAGTACTAGGTCGAAGAGTGGTGTGCTACCACAAAGAAGTTATAAGGGATATCTTGCTGCCTTACCTAAGGTACACTCTTTGCAATTGACTCAAGATGAGTTTTTTGGTGGAGGTTTTTCGTTTGTAACTAGTTCTGTTGATGCTGCAGAACCAACAACTTTTCGAAAAGCTGCATCCATACTACAATGGCAGAATGCAATGTAGGAAGAATATAATTCTATCAGAGCTCAAGGAACTTGGGAACTTGTTCCACCACCTGATGACAGGTCAATTATTGGCAGCAAATGGGTTTACAAACTCAAAAAGAATCCTGATGGCTCAATTTCCCGGTATAAAGCTAGGTTGGTCGCACAAGGTTTTTCACAGGAACAAGGAGTTGACTACTCAGAAACATTTAGTCATGTGGTTAGACATACCACAATGCGAATATTATTAGCCTTGGCTGCAATTAATCGATGGGATTTAAGGCAGTTAGATATTAAGAATGCATTTTTGCATGGTGATTTTCAAGATGAGATATACATGAAACAGCCTCCGGGATTTGTAGATATGGCTAATCCTTCATATGTTTGCAAGCTAATCAAGTCATTGTATGGTCTTAAGCAAGCCCCAAGGGCCTGGAACTCCAAGTTCACAAGTTACTTAGCTGCAATGGGGTTTAAAGCATCTGCTTCAGATTCCAGTTTATTTGTTAAGCAAGACAATGGTGATGTGGTCATTCTACTTTTGTATGTAGATGACATTATCTTAACCGGATCAAACTCATGCAAGGTACAAAGTGTAATCACAGAGTTATCTAAGGTATTTGAGCTTAAAGATATGGGAAAGTTCACTTATTTTCTTGGTTTGCAAATTACCTACAAGAAGAATGGTGATATCTGCATCATACAATCTAAGTATATCAAAGACTTATTGCAGAAAACTGGTATAGAGTCCTGCAAACCGGCATCCACACCGTGCAAGCCTTATGATCCATTGTTAGTCACTAAAGGTACCATATTGCTTGATCCAAGTTTATATCGCAGTATTGTTGGCTCACTACAGTATTTGACCTTTACAAGGCCAGATATTGCATATGTTGTGAATTCGGTGTGTCAGTTCATGGCTTCTCCCACAGAGATACATTTTGGGGCAGTAAAAAGGATCTTGCGATTCTTAAAAGGAACTATACAAACTGGTATCACATTTTCAGCCGACACTGCAGTAAGGATCATAGCCTTTAGTGATTCTGATTGGGTTGCAGATTTGAACACAAGGCAATCTGTAACAGGCTATGTTGTATACATTGGTAATAATCCAGTTTCATGGCAGTCAAAGAAGCAAGATTCTGTATCAAGGAGTTCTACAGAAGCTGAGTATAAGGCTTTGGCACACACTGCAGCTGATGTTGCTTGGATTCAAAATGTTCTTTGAGATATGGTTGTTGTCTTACCTTTTCCTCCAGTAATATATTGTGATAATAAATCTGCAATTGCATTGAGTGCTAATCCAGTTTTTCACTCGAGGATCAAACATTTGGACACAGATTATCATTTTGTCTAGGAAAGAGTTCAAAATGGGGATCTACAAGTTCAATATCTACCTACTAAAGATCAAACTGCCGACATACTAACTAAGGGTCTCCACGGTCCTTCTTTTCTCAAGCATTCATTCAATCTCAAGCTTGGAAACCCAGCTGAGATTGAAGGGGGATGTTGACAGAGTTATGTACACATCAGCAAGATGGGATTTAATGTACACATCAGCAAGATGGGGTTTTGACAGATGGCGTACACGTCAGCCAAGGATTGTTAGGATTATGGTTAGACAGTTAAAAGGATAAGAAAAATGAGTTAGCTTTCGGTTACTTAGTGATGAAGCGAAGGTTGTAGTATATATATTGCAATCTCTCTGTAATTCTCAAGCGATCAATACATTCATAGCAGTTCATTCCTTTCTCTCTCTTCTCTAGTCTCTCTCTCATTCTACATTCTTCTGTGAGTTTTCTTTGCTTTTGCTTTCTTTTGAGATACTGAGCTTAGTGTTAATAGAGACAACAAAAACATTCCTCAAACCAATAAATCAAGAAATTTGTAATATGTATCAAGTAAAGAATTAGTACTAATGCTGTTCCTTCATTCCCTTGGCAATATTCAAGGATTCAAGAAAAAAAATTCATCATTGTATTATGCAGAAAAAATCAGTAAACTTGCACTACATGAGCTCTTCCACATGAAAATGAAAACTAATTAATTTGTTGCCTATGCTTAATTTGAAGCGCCACATATTTTGACGATCAGCTTTTGCAAGTTAAACGTACGTACGCATGCAGTTGCAAACCCATACAGACTCGAGCAAACTAAAGTCAGAGTCTGAGCTCCAAATCTAGATCTTGGGTGTCACTTGATTCAGAGTTGTGACTGCTTGAGCCCATGGAGCTACTTCTATGTTTTTTGCTCGTCCTGTGATGAGAGTCCTACATATATAATACCATCACCAAATAAATTCAAACTTGGATCACCTGTACATATATAAAACTATGAAATAAATAGAAAGACAGTGCATCAATTGATAAATATTTTTTGCATCCAATTTTTCTCTTTCTACACATTTCTATTTACGGTTGTCTTTTTTCTTTTGACAAACGATAATGTTGGTGGATTAAATTGATAGTTGTTAAGAGGGAGGGAGACTGGTGGGGATCATACCCACACCAGGATGCATAAGCGTCATTTGCTACTGTGGTAAAGCGTCATCTGTGTTTATTCTTGTCTCTTGATTTTCCTTTGATTTACTCAAGCAAAATACCAAATAATAACAGGGGTGTACTTGGTGAAAAAAATGGGTGTATTGAAATATGTTCCTATTAATTTTGTTTCATATTATCGAAATGAATGTGTCAAAGTAGAACTACATTTGATATGTGAGAGAGCATGTGATTGTAAGTACCTCTACTGGAGGTGGATTTAGAAGGTGTCTGGTCATGCTGGATTGCACAAAATGTTGGGTGTCTAAAATGGCATTACCGGGGACGTCCCATCTGGTTTTAAGAAATTGAAATTTTACGTACGGGTTAGAAACAAACACAGTTTCAGGAAAAGAAAAACAATTCACAGAAGTCACAAAGAATTCAAGAGAGAGAGCGAGAGAGTAAGCATATGCACCTGGCTGTTGTACTAAGTTGGGAATTATGTTCACCACCATATGTCATGTTTGCTCTTTCATATTCACCAAGACCGCCCATCTGCAAAACCAGGAAATTTTAAGGGATTTAATTACTTAAAATTCCACAAGATTGATCAGAAGTTCTACTCAGACAAAAATAAAATCTATTGATCTGAATTACTATCTTTCAAGGCTGATCAAGAGTATGATTTTCAGAGGTAATGAGGATTTGGCTATAAAAACTGGATTTATTGCCACATGTGGCCAGCGACTAGCGACTAACTAGGGTTGGAGCCAAATAACGAATAAAATTAAGAAACTTAGAAAAGTCAATCAAAAGGGGGAAAACCGCTTTTGTTCTAATAAAACCGTTATTGTTCAAGCATTGATCCACATATATGTATGTGCATGTTGACTCGTCAACAAATTAACTTGGAAACGAGATTACAATTAATGAAAATGGTGGGAAATTACACAAACGCACCATGATGTTGGGGTGGAAGCCATGGAAGCCATAAGAGAGTGAAGAAGTGGAGGATGGTGAAGAAGATAAAGATGATGATGGTATGGACGAATAAGCTGTTTGCGCTCTTGTCTCCTCCTGCATGATTATAAGAATTTATATTAAAACCCCATTAGAATTAAAATTCTCTCTCTGCAAATGAACCAAATACGAATTACTCAGACATAGAGAAAAGGTATATGCATACGCACGTTGCTGAAACTAGTGGAGTATGGAGAGTGGAGGGAAGGGTGATAAGTGCTACCCATTTGACCATGTAATCTGATCTTCTCCAATTGAGCCACTCCAAGGCCTCTCTGGGGTTGCTTTGGCTTGTCTGAATTGCTTTTCTTTCCCTTCCTTGAAGAAGAAGAAGAACCACCACCACCTCCTCCTCCCATGTTTGGCTCCCCAAAATAACTGCTCCCCATCTGATCAGTCTTCTTAATTTCGATTTCTCCTCGCGCTAGGTATGTACGTATGTATAAGATTAGCACTTTTAGAGAGAGAGACACGCACACAGAAATAGAGCAAGTAGAGAGAGAACGAGAAAACTGGTTTTGCAAATCCCAAACTTTGTGGCAAGCTACTAGCTGAGAAATCAGAGATCTCCAGTGACCTTTTAAAGCTGGTTTGCTAAGCCAGTAATTATTGCATAGCTGGATCAGATTGTGTGTAGATTCTAATGCTTTATGTACTTAGATTTTATGCTCCTTCTCTTTAGTTTTCCCTTAATTTCATAACTTCTATAATTTCTTTACTTTAATATTTACCATATTATTTGATAATTGTCACATACAATATTGTATTCAATTTATCAAATATTTCTTTTCCTTCAGATGTGGACTTTATAGACTGCCGCTTGAAAGCGATTGTCTATATGATTTGAAGTGTTAAAATATTGTGCATTAATAGAACAAGAAACTACCTTGCCACGCGCTGTAGACGAGTTGCATATGTCAATAGCTAGTTCATGCTGTCTGCAAATTTTATTATAAATTTTTTGTTTTTGATGATAAATTAACAATTAACATTTTGCTTCCCGAACATTTTATTATTATAATATCCTATAATTTTTAATGGTGGCTGCCATTCTTATGACAGAATTTTTACAGTAGCATCTTTAGGATATATCGAAATCGGATTATATTTAGAGAGTTTGGAGTGCAAAATGAGATTTTTGGAGTGCCAATAACAATTCCCATATTTAATTGGTAATAAAAGATATTGGAAATTTAGAAAAATGCTTTTATTTGGTCAAAGGAATGCAAAAAAATTTTTTTTTTTTTTTAATTTTATTACAAACGATATTATATATTATGAAAATTGTTATTGTCATTCTAAAAATTTCATTTTAACTTCGCACAAGTGTATTTTTATTTCTAAATATAAAAAATTTGGTGTGAAAATAAAAATTTTAAAATGTCATTAACAATTCTCTATATTGTTTTAAATTATATTACAAATATGAGATTAAAGAGAATTTAGAAGGCGATGAGTTAAAAACGAAGACTCTGTCCGTTAAACAATCCATCACTAGCATATCATTTCTTCTGATTTTGCAGGTCTTAAACTTAATTGGGTTCCACATTTGCATGTGGTTTCCAGTTCCATGATCATATTGTATATCAGCTTACGGTGCCCTAAAAGCCCCAGCTGTTAACATTTCTTTAAGCAACTTATTAAGAAAGGAAAAAGCATTATAAAATCTATTATATAGCACATTATGGAAGCTAGACCAAATCACATTTAAATTATAGATTCTAGAAATCTTTTTTGCAGCTTCATAGGGATTGTCTATTACTGATGAGGATTAAATGAAAAAATATTGGCTTCTCAAGCAGCTAACTAGCTGTACGTGTGGGTCGATCTTATATATTTAATTAATTAAAATTTACCTTAATATTTTCCCTATATAAGATAATAGAGATCAATGTAAAATATGTATAGTGTTAAAAATTCTCAAATTTAAGTAGTTTCTCAAAAAGAATGGTAAAATATGGAGAATTGACTAATATATGGTGGGAAATTCGATTAGATATGTTTGTTTGTGAATGGCTAAGGAACCAAATCTAATTTGAGCTGTTCCACGCATGATCTGTGGGTCATATTTTATGAGTTGTTGTGTGGTGGAAAGTGAGAATGCTCCATTTTCTTAAACATACATGTGAACTCATGCAATTACCAAAAAAACCTCGTTTATTGAGGTTTTCTCAAATTAAACATTGAGCATGTCGTGCTAAGTTGCTAACTGTAAGATAGAGATTTCATATTCAAATATCATGAACAGAGTTCGATATAATTTATAGGTGATGTTATTCACACATTTTTATTTTTCATACATACCCTGTTAATTCTTATTATGTTATTTATAAGTTAACTAAGTAAAAAAAAGTGTAGGAAATAAATGACATAAAACAAAAGTTCGTCAAATTATGAGTTAATAAAATAATACTAGCATATGGGCACACACAAAGTGTGTGAGAAAATTTTTTATTTTTGTTTTTGAAATGGAAGGAGAGAGGAAGAGAGTGATAGAGAATGTGGGAGTGGGAAGTTTTTTTTTCTTTGTTTTTTTTTTAATTAGAGATATATTAGGATTACATGTAGGTGAGGCTTTGAAGAAAAAAAAAGCAAAATTTGGTTGTGTGAAATTACATTTCTGCCTCATATTTCTTATTCATGTTCTGTTTAATTAGAGAGTTAAACTGGTAATTTCATATAATTTTGGTTGACAATTAGTGTTTTATTAATTAGTAGAGATAAAACAAAACCTCAAAAGGTAAAGGTTATAAAACAAAAGGGAAAGGTTATATTTACTTAAGAGGTAAAAATGTTAATTTCTGTCACAACTGTCTCTTTATAATAGCGACAATTGTACAAAGTTGGCAATAGAAGGAGGCAAATTCCATTTTCTACAGTAATTGAAAACGTGAAATAAGTGTACCTATATAGTTTAAACACCAAAAAATTATTCTTAACTGTTTATAATGAAGTAAATAAAATCACTATATGGCATAAGACTTATATAGCCCTATTTAAGTACAGTGTTTCCTTAAACATCAGTCTTATGGCTTGTGTTCAAAGTATATATCTCGAAGTAATTTCTTAAAGTTAGAAAATTTCATGAAATACGTTACTAAAGATTTCAAAGTATAAGAGCATGAAGCTAAAAGTATGTAGTCGATACCAATACATTGTACACTAGATAAGTTTGGTATAAATTACCTCATTGCATACTCTTGTTAGTTTGAACTGAATTTATATTGTTGCAACATCATCCATAATTATATACTTGTACTACTACTGAAAGTCCTATGGGGCTAGTTGTATACATGGCTTATATTCGCCAAGAACTTTAGTAAAGTGCTTTTTTCAGCTTGTAAATTTTGAAGTATATTTTTCTTTTGGTATTTCTCTAACCTTTATAGGAATACAAACAACAATTGTCGATTCCTAATAAACTTCCACACTTTTCAAAGTCAAATTCTACTCGAGTTCAATTTCTTGAAGACTGAAGTCACATTATTTCAAACTTGGCAAAGATGACTTGTCAAATGATCAAGACTTACTATCATCAATGACGGAGCCAGAATTTCATATGCGGAGAGACCTTACACAACTACAGAAAAAAGAAAAAACGAATAGTGGTTATAAAATTACTAATGCAAAACGTCATAAAATATCTACAAATTATTCAGTAGTCAAAATTAACATATGCATATATAATTTTATCTACTTATAGTCATCATAATTATTCTCCACGAATTTTATATTTTGAAACCATTGTATAATGTCATCTATACTATTGAAGGAATTACTAAACACAGTAGAGAGAATTATTACAAAATTTGTAAACCCTAAATCTCAAGTGAGAGGTAAGATAGAGTAGAAACAAATATTTTATAGAGAATAATAGAGTTTTACAAACCTTATTGTTCTTTATTCAATAAATTTGAGATTTGGAATGGCTAAATACATGAAAGTAAAAAAGAATAGGGAGAATAGGTATGCCAGTGTTGAATTTTTAAATTAAAAGTAGATGATGGGTTTTAATTTAAAAGTTATTGATTTGTGATAATGATCATTTAAAATATTAACTTAAATTTGGGATGGATATGCTGGATGAAAAAAAAGAGATATCAATTGGATTTGTCTTAAGTGTTGAGAAGGGTTGCAAAGCAATAAAAATAGGTGTAATAGTACTAATCTTATTTTTTGAAGTCAGGGTAGGCCTAGGACTACTCAAGTTCTTATGTGCCTTTGTCAGTGACTATCATCATGGGAAGTTTTTGACAATATGTTGTAATGAACATATACACATATATATATATATATATATAAGTGAGATGTGCTCTTTTTTCTTCGACTAGGTTTTTATCCCACTAAATTTTTCCTGACAACTTTTTGATGAGGCAAAATTATGCGCATCCAACATCTTATCAATGTTTTTTTGTGCTTGATTTTTTTCTCCTTCGCTTTGGTTTTGTCCCATTGGGTTTTCCAAATAAGATTTTATCGGGACAACTATCATTGATTGGTGAACATCCAATGAAGAGTTTTGTAAATAATATTTGTTATGTGGCTATTCACTTTCGGATCAATATGTAATATGTAATTAGTTAATTAAACCTTTTTATGTAAATCCTAAGCCTATAAGTAGGCGCTCTAATGAAAACGAAACGACACTTCAATTTCTCCTCACAATCTTTCGTATCTCTCAATTGTCTTACTTTTATACTTTATTTCTACTACATATTTGGTTTTGAAACAAAGAAGCGAATGATTAATTAAAACTGAAAGATAATGAAAAATTAAGAACACGTCTACCGTCAAATCCAATTAATACCTCATTCTTTCTTATGGTGTACATGCAACGATTTCAAACGTATCCATTTAATATAAATTATATTCGTTAACCGATTCTTGAAGCCACCTGTGCAAAATGCATTTCAAATTAGAAGCACATTATTATTATAAAAATTATATAATAGCATTACTAAGTAGACTGCCTATAATCTACATTATATCATTCAACTGCATGAATAAATTATAAAATCCATGTCGTGAATCATATGATTAATTAAAAACAATTATACAGAAATGTGAAGATGGTGTGGTTTCCTTGGTGCCCTATTAATACCATGCCATGTGTATCGTTATCATCAGGCACTGACGTACCACAATTCTTACTTAACAATAATGTTAAACATATTTTAGTAAATTCACATATAGTATCACATATTTCCATTGACAATTTTACAGGAAATAAGTAGTTTTATTCATTATTCACAAAGAAAAACAAGAAACTTTGATTTTAAATTATGTAAAAAAACCCTATCGTGTCATTTGCGAATTGTGTATGTATAATGTACCTTATAAAATTATGGCTTGTTTTGAAATAGTTTTATATGAGGCATTTCATTCAAGCGCATTTTCTATGATTATGTTCATTGATGAATATCTAAGAGCTCGTTTAGATGTGCTTTTAAAATAACTAAAAGCGTTTTTAGAGAAAATGTTTTTGGGTTCTAAAAACACTTAAATGTTTTCTGCAAGAAGCACCAGTTATGTGCTTCTTCCAGGAAGTACTTTAACTGCTTTTCCAGGATTTACTTTCATCTTTACTAAATATTGGTTCTAAAAACATTTTCACCAAAAACGTTTTCAACCATTTTAAAAGCACATCCAAACGAGCGC